AGAATTGTAGTTACCCAAAATAATAGGAACGGCCACTAGAAAAAATAATTATCACTCCTGATTATCCACAAAAATTGTAGTTACCCCCAGTTCTAACTTTTCCCTGAATAGTCAAATAAGCCTTGCTAAATGAGCTTAGTTTTTATTGTATTAAATGTATTTGTAACAATTTCTCATCACAATGATACATTAACACTACTCCCTCCGTCCCTAAATTACATTCTTCTTTTCTATTTTTTGTATTCCAAAATTACATTCCTCCTTTCTATTTTTAGTAAGTGTTTTTTAGTAAATCAACTCTCTTTTTCTGTTTTATATTTAATGCTTTCTCACTGATCCTTACCTAATCTCACTCATAATCCTTGTGCCAAATTACAATGAATATGATTGGTTAAAAATTTTCAATTAGGAGCATGTGATTGGTTTTTTTTTTTTTTACAAAGGATTGATGACATGTCATGAGTAATAACTAATCTGTCTTTGTACTTCCCATAACATAATCTAATTATTGTTATTTGTCTTATTCTTTCCTCCTTAATTCCCGTGTAAATTTCCAAAGAGGAATGTAATTTAGGGACGAAGGGAGTAAGATTAACCCATTACATACATTAACACTAACATTAACCCATTACATGTTCCAAAAAAGCTACATTTCGCATTTAAGATGATTGATTATCTCAAATAGGGATGGCAATGGGTCGGGTTAAATGGGAGACCCGCCACAGGGACGGGGATGGAGGGAGGTTTGGCGAGTGATGGGGCGGGGATGGGTATAAAATGTGTACCCGCCATGGGTGATGGGGCGGGTATGGATTTTAGAGTAGACCCGCCCCGCACCGTACCATCTTATAGCCGCACCATATTCTTTTAGAAGAGTTGAGAATTTATGAAACTTGATACCCCCTAACACCTAATAAGCTTGAATAGTGAAAGCTCCAGTTTTCTTAATCTAATTTGATATAATTGTCATTAATGTGATACAATAGGGCATCACGACAAAGGGTTTGGGACGATTTTTTTGGGGGGAGGGGGTATGAGGTGGGTATGAATATCTAAGGGGGTGATAGAGTAGGGATGGATTCTATCTTATATTTGGTGGGGCGGGTATGGATGTGGATATTGTACTTGCCACGCGTGGTGGGGCGGGGATGGGTATAAGAGTTTTAGGAGGATATGGGTATGGAGGTACCATCATCCGCATCCGAACTGCCCCATTGCCATCCCTAATCTCAAATGTATCGATACTTCGAAGAGTAACTCGTACCGTACATTGACCGGTCCAATCGTGGTCGTCTATCGAATCAATGTAGAGTAGATGAGGGCTTTTACCAAATTTTGAATTTAGTTTAAAATTTTGGGAATTGAATATTGAGCACCAAAGCTTACACACCGTAACTAACTGTTCGTCCGACATCGTCATCTCCTCGCTCTCCATTTTAAATTTCCTCAAAAATAAATTGCTAAACCTTTGTTTGATGCATTGTTAAACCTTTGTAAATTGTAATTAATTGTATTTGTAAATTATAATAATATAACACGCCTAACAAGCGTATACATTAAACAATAAGATTAGGAATTTAAGATGATTATAATAATTTACATAAATATTCTGCTTATCCTAATGCTAATGCTAATTTAATCCTTATTTATTTTTATCTTTTTTTATTTGATATTTATATATAATAATATAATATGCTTATCATCAAAATAATATTTTATAAGATATACTCTTATTATCTTGTAAAATTTTGCAACGGTACGCCAACATCACATTTGGTTAGCAATCCAAATTTGGATAAATTAGTTAAGAAAATTTGAGATATTTAGTAAAGAACAAAAATGTTACTAGTATTACGTTCGAGTTATATTTTAAATAAAATTTCAATATTTCATTATTGCTTTAAATTATATATCTAATAGAAATTATAATAATCGAAAGTATATCCTATATATATAATAATAATAATCGAAAGTATATCCCATATATATCATATTGAAATTGTATAATAATTGAAAGTATATTCCATATATCTTATATGAATTATAATTTTCAGATAATCTTATAGGCATCTCTATAGGAAAAGATGTTTGTACTCCATAATGTTTTATATGTTATAATTTTGATGCGTTTGGTACAATTGTTGATGTTATAAAAATAATAAATTGAGTTACAGTAAACCATGCAACATTACTCAAAAATTTATTAAATAAATATTATTAAATTTATTAAATAAATATTATTGAAGCAAGTCAATTATAAGAATGTGTAGTATGTAGGAAGGCTTATGTATGGTATAGCTTCTTGTGTTTTGTTGTTTTTCAATGATTGAATGTACATGACCTATATTTATAGATGTAAATGGAGTTTGGAAGAAGTGGTCGAAATATTCTAGAAATTCAATAATGTTCTAGAAAATTCACGAACCATATATTATATTATAATTGCTTCCAATGTACGTATAATGCTCTAGAACATTCAAGTATGTTATAATTTTAGATAAATCATGAGCAATTAAGCAAGTAATGACCTTATATGCACAATACTCCACCAAAATAATGGGCTTATAAAATTTGGGCCATACCTAACATTGATGAATCTGTAAAGGAATCCAATTAAAATTGTGGCTTTAGATATTCTTGTTGGGTTAATGCATTTATATGCGGTTAATTTGGGTTCATGGTGTACAAGAGATATCGATGACTATGTTGAAAAAAGTTGGCTGTTTGAGCATGGGGTTTATTACAATGGAAAGTTGCATTATTTGATTGATACAATAACTCAGGTTATTTTGATAATAAGATGGCTCTTTTCGATTGCGCCTGTGAACAGATTCACTTTTGGAGAGTTGCCATATTTAGATGAACCTGTGCCGGGGGATCAAAGAGTACGTGCTTGTTATTTTGGATACGGTTAGAAATGGACATATTATCTGGATTTTTAAGAATTCCGAAAACGGAAACTCTATTTGGACCAAAATTAAGTTTTCACACAGTGAGTGCAATCATGCCTGCCTTGCGTTCTCTTGAAGCTATAGTCTGTTACGATGTGCTGATTTGAACTGCAGAGTGCTGAAAAGGTTACTTAAACTTGCAAAGGAGGATTCTCTTATATTTGTAGACTATTTTGTTGAAAGCTTGGCCTATCAGAGGTGAAAGGAGCATTGGAGATTCATTTGATTGATAAGCAGTAAGGGAGGTCACAGGTAATAGAAGTTATATGTGAACATATTAGGCAATGTGAACATTTCCTTTGCTGTCTAAATGCTTAGCTGGCAAAATGACGGATCAAATTGGTTTTTGGTAGAATTCGGGCCGATTTAATTGGGTGTTGGGCTGAGTTCAGAATAAGTCAAATTTGGATTCAAGTTGAGTTCAAATAGGTTATAAACCAGGTACAAAATCGCGTTAACTTCAAGTTGTTTACAAGCTAAGTTGGGTTATATGGGTGTGGAGTTGTATTCAAATTAGGTGAATTTAAAGCATTGCTTGAACCCAAAAATTAGTAATAGTAGAAACAAAAGTGTTGGTTTAAGTTGATTACAAACATAATCAATTATCAAAATATGAGAAAGGAAAGAGTACTTAATAATTTAACAACGAATTATTTTTATTAATTTTTTTTTTTTTTTTACATTTTTGGTCGATATAATAACCCTTGGCTAAGATTTTATAGTCCTTATTTAATTAATTTATCAACTTCCCATATAAGAAAAAAAAAAAAGCATAAAGAGTCACATTATAAGCTTGTCATGTCAAATTATCTTGGGTAATTTTGGATATCTATGATGAAATCAAAGAGTGAACTATAAAGTTGGGTAGGGGTGAAAGTTCGATTTTCAATTTAGTTTACCAAAAAATACAAGTTTATCAATATGAATTTGTTTATCAAATGACAAAAGTGTAAATAAATTAACAATTTTATATTAAATACGGGTCCCACTGTTGTTGATATATTTACAAAAAATTCCATGATAACTCGGCATTTATGTTGTTTTATTTACCATTTTGCCATTTGATAAACAAATTTTGTTTATCAAATTGATTAACTGGACTTCCTCTTAGTTTACTTACATATCATTTAGAACTACTTTTAGGATTTATGCAACTAGTAGTTTCAATCTTACTTAGAAATAAAGTCAAAACCTTTTTGTTCCGAAAGCTTCTTCAGTCAGGTACTGACAAATTGTGGCTGAATTCGATCATTAGGCAGCTACAATTAGCACATAGAGTTCAATGTTTTGTACATGAATGACTGATAGTAAGAATAAATGGGCTACTCGATATGATAAGGTAGTACACTCTCCGACCAATATACTCACCTCGCCTAATGCTCAAAATTTTCTTGAAGAACTCTTTTGCATATCTTGAATTTTATTCCCCCCCCCCCTCTTTTAATTCCTTGCTTTTAATATTAAACAATATTTAACACTAAGAAATAATAAAATAAAAAGTAAAGTAATGAATATAAAAATAATATGATACACGCTTACTTTGATATGAATAAAGGTTAATCATCGTCATTTACTAATTTTTATACTAATATGTCATCTAATAAAACTTTTATACCAATTTGTCACATTTTACTAATTTTAATATCAATATATTATCGATTTTAATTTTTATACTAATATGTCGCAAGGGTGCTAAATTTTATACCATTGTATTGTACCCTCTATATCCCTTTATTTTTGCTCCATTTGACTTTATACGGTTTTCAAAACATGTGTTAAAATGTTTATATCTCCATTTCCATACACGTAAAAATTATAAAAATTTGATATTAATTATATTTACAATGAAATGAATCAAATAAAATATCAGGTGACTATATTTCTTTTTGTTGAACATGAAAATATATGGTCAAAGTTGGTAAAATGTTTGGACAATGGGGCAAAAAAATAGGGATAGAGTAGCTAATTGGCCATTTGCTTTGGGAAGTAAACCAAACTTTGGGTCAATTAGTAACTTATAGACTCAACTAGTCAAATGAATAGATGAAACTGCCCCCAAAAGATAACGGATAGAAAAAATTTCCCCCTTTTATACCAAAGAGTACCAACTCTGAAACTCACTCTCAGATCATCATCTCTTTTGCTTAATTATGAGTTCAATCGCCGAAGTGGGTCGTATGGAGAGGGAACTCTCAAGGGTCGACAGATTGTCGGAGGACATCCATTTTCCGCCGGAATTATTGTTGGAGATCTTGCTATGGCTACCATCAAAAACCCTTTTGAAATTCAGGTCGGTTTGTAGAATTTGGTGTTCTTTCATTGATTCCTCAAATTTCATTTCTTTGCATCTTAATTGTTACAATTACGATTATTCCCAAAAAAGTATTGATCATCTGATAGCGATTCAAAGAATTGTGGACGTTGGGTGTTTTTTCACAATTCGTAGTAGTGACAGATTGAATACGGTTGCAGATCTTGCTGAATTGGCTGAACCATATTCAATTTCTGGAAATTGTAATGGGTTGATTTTGTTGAATTATGGTTGGAATGCGGTTCGATTGTGGAACCCTTCTATAAGAAAATCATTGTTTCTTCCTGATTGTCCTATTAAGCTTCGTTGGAGTAGAATTCGTCGTTGTCATGTAACTTATACTTTAGGATTTTCCCGTTCTAGTAATGATTATAAGGTGCTTGCTGTTAAGACTAATCTTCCTAGCTATAGTGATGATAAGGCCTATATTGCTGTGTACTCACTCGCTGATCACCTTTGGAGGGTTAAACCGAATCCGGTGAGTGTGTCGAAGTGGGCTATATCATGGTTAAGCCCTGAAGGAGGGTTAGTTTGTTGTGGAGGAGTTGTATATTGGGTTGATAATGATTTGCACAGAAAACCCGGAGCTTATATGAAGCTCTACTTGTATGACTTTGATGTCGAAGAATTTAGTGTTATGCAACTGCCTGATGCTGTGAAAGAAAGCACTCATAGGCTTATTTTTGCCCATGGTGACTCCTTAGCAGTTTTATTGATGTCCTCTGAAAGTATCTGCATATGGGTTTTGAAAAAGGATGGCGGAGAGAATCCATGGAGGCTATGGTTTAAGGGAGAGCCGCATTTAAATGCTTCCAAGTTGTTTGAATGTGCAAATGTTGTCTATTGTAAAAATAGCAATACGTTTTTGTTGAACAACAATCTTGCTACGATGTCCTATGACATTGCAAACAACCAAATACGAATTCTGAAAGAAAAAGATATGATGAATTTCCGGATTTCTTTCCAGACTTATGTTGAAAGCTTGGTTTTGCACAAAGGTTTTGGTGAGACTATAACATTATTCCTTTGAAATTGATGAAGGGTTGATAATGGCTGATTCTGGAAGGTCACAGGTAATGCTTGCTCTTAATCATGTTATTTTTCCCACTTACATCTTCTAAAATATGTCAAATACACATTATGATATATTAATTGTTTTTTGTCATACTTTAAAATTCATTGTTCAGGAAGACTTGCTTTTGTTGTACTAATAGATATTTCTTGAACTTGTCTTTATATAGGATCATATAACTAACCTTTTACCACATTTACCTGATGATGGTGTAGTTAATGTGAACTAAATAAAGAAAAAAGGTTAATAAGTGGAAATTTCTTCAAGCATACTATTAACCATCATTGAATGAAGTTGCATTCCCTTTACCTTACTCCCTCAATAATGTGGTCTATCCTATATGCCCTTCCAAAATCTACTCATCCTCTCCAAGTAGTTAAGTTAATTTTGTCAATGAAAAAAATAAATCGAAATCAATTAAATAAAGAAATTATTTGGAATAGGATTCTCTTTGTAAGAAACTGCTTTATAAAGTTGAGATTTTGTGAAAATTACCTAATAAAAACATGTTGTTAATTGCCATTTTAAACCTAAAATATTGTAAGTTGCTACCCTTTGCCGGATATCCCTTGTTGACCTTCTTTTTTGGCGTTGAGCTACCCGCGTGACTTAAATTACTTTTTTTTTTGTTTATTTATAGTGTTGGCAGGGGTAATGATGTGACATAGGGTAAAATGGAAATTAGTTTTGTCATCATTTGTCTATCCATGTCTTGAAAATAAGGTTGGTGGCTTGGTGTTAGCATTCTCAATGTAAATATGATCCAAATTAGTAGAATTGAACGTTGGAGGTTTGTGCTGTAAAATCAATACCAAAGTCTGAGTCAATAAGAATGCTAGTGAGATGTTAAGTATGATACAAGTAAGAAGTTTGCTTAGCACATTCTTGAGGCATCAGTGTTGGATGTTCACCTATAAGTGAAGCATCAGTCTTTACAGTGGAGTCTTATCTTGATCACCCATCTAGCAAATAGTGCTATGGAGTATTATGAGTGAATGAAAACCCCTGGTGTATCTTAGATAAACAGGTTCTATATAAGATCTTAATTATTTGCGGATTTAGTCTTAAGCTTTGACTCTCTGCGTAGGCTTTCAAGTTCTAAATATATTATCTCCATACCAAAATGAGAAACGTGAAAATAGCAACACTTCACCACCATAAGCAGATCCCAAATATTTGCATAATAGTCTAGTAGTCACAACAAGTATTTGGAAGAGGAAGCTTGATGAATACTTTTTGGGAGACATGTAAATCCATGAAGTTTTGGAGGGAGGTATGTCAGGGTTGCCACTGCAAGATTCTAGTGTTTGTGTGTAAAACACGAAGTTCTCTAGACTGTAATTGATTTCTAAGTTACAAAATCTGTGCATTGAATGTTTAAGCAAAAACACTTGCAACGCACATCTGCTGGCCATTGAATGTTGAAGCTGTGCATATGAAAGCTGCTCATATTCTGAATAGTCTATATTTCATATTATCATACTTTTTTTGTTGGCACTCTTTTGGACTGATGCCTATAAAGAAGCCCACCCGAGACTCTGAGAGAATGAGACTAAAGTGTAGAACCCCTGCTTGGTAAAGTCCTTGCTACATTAATAGTTTTCATTCACTGGTCTTCTTCCTCTGTGATTCATTAATAGTTTTCATTGTGTCTTCTTAAGGAGGATGGAGAGGATCAATGGGGCTATGTCTATGTAGAGATTCTAGGTGATTGCTAGTTTCTACCATACACTTTTTTTTTTCCTCCCTGAAGCTTACAGTAGAGTTGAGTGATTTGGGGGAACAGAAATCTTTAGTAGATATCATTTCTTACTTGTGTGGATAGATTGGTGTTGTATAAAGTATCTGAAGGGTAGACTTTGACATACTTCCCAGAAAACTAAATGAATATTAGACCTAAAACTTATAAGAAATGCAGATGCACTTAACTAGGTACCTCTTGCATTTCTCATTTTATGAAATTTTGCTAGCTTACCCTGCTGTAATTACACTTGCCTTAATTTTCTCAAAAAAAAAAAAAAAATTACACTTGCTTTAATGTTTTGCTATTCATGACATGCATCGCTCAAGGATACTTAATGTTGTTTTTCCTTTGGATTGCATTACATTTCTGTCCCATACAATAAATTCTGACTCAAGTTATGTTCCATGTCTTGTTTTTGCACATCCTCTAAATCGGGATCCAACACTGTTCATTTTCTAATCTGTTGGGTTTTACACTTCTACGACTTATGCACTGAATGAAAATTTCTTTGGAATTTGTGATTTCTTCCCTATGTATTTATGAGATACAGATAAGGGGAATGTGATTTGTAAGGCACAAATACACTATGTATATGTATACATTCTTCTTTGTTCGACTTGATTTGTTGGTTTTCTCTAGTAAAATTTTTAGGTATAATAATGCTACTCTTATACTAGATATGATTGCAAATCTGTATTTTCCTTTGTGAGAAGGGTTTCCGAATGTTTTCTTTTTCTTACTTATATAAAAAAAAATATTGCAAATCTGCATGATTATTAGCCTTGTATAGTTGTTTGTTCAAGTGCTAATGTTATTGGTATAAGGATGAAGCTTTGTAATAATTATGGAGCTTATGGCTTGCTATCAGATTTTCTTTGTTACTTTTGTCATTATTTGCATTTAAAACCAATTTAATTGTCATAGACTTTAATTTTTTTTTGAACAAATTGTCATAACCGTATAGTGGGGAGGGATACTATAAAATTTGATACTGACTGGATTATTTGCTCTTTACAGAGATGCATACTAGTAGCGCCCGCTGCCTGATGTTGCTAAATGCTCAGTTTAATTTTTTCTGTTGCTACTGCAGACCATGGTGTAATTTACTGGTGCGTGTCTAAGCTCACATGTAAGATCTTGAATGTATGCATAAAACTCATATGTAAGACTGTCATATTTGGCTGATAAATGTATGGCCTGTATCAGTTCAGTCCAAGTACATGCAACTATGCTAGACTGTTAATTATTAAGTGCAAAACATTTGTCGTTAATGTACTTGTGTTAATGTAATTTATAAGTACACTTCAAATTATATTGGTCCAATATGTTTTATGTGTATTAGGTTCTATTATTCAGGGAAAATTCCCCTTAGCTTTTGTTCAACTTATATGTTTTTAATGGCTTTTATGATTTATAATTAAGAAGATAATGACATATGAGCTCTTGTTAGATTCGCATCCAATATGTCATTACCAAATATAAAATATTCTGCGTAAGATTATGCCACGTGGGTTAGAAACCTAAACTAAAACGGATTGATATTTCTCTCAATGGAAATCCAAAGGAGTCATTTGCTACCCCTATGTTTATTTTATTGTGCAATCAGCACGTAACCAAGAGTACTATCAGAGACTACTGTAGTAGTACAATCTGAAGTTTCAAACCAAGGTAGATGAATTGTGTTAGGTACTTAGGTTTTTCCTGACAAGACAATGACTTGATCTAGTGTATGTTCAAGTATATAGTAGTAAGAGACTGTCCGAGCTTTAACTAGTTAGGTTGCATGTAGGATCTTTATATACTCGATAAATAGCTGTTTTGAGGTCATTAACCCCAAAGAAAGGGAACTGATGTGGGAGCATTAGACTTGGTTGATGTGGAAAAAATGTAGTAAAGAGTCAGTTTCATGGATGATTCTGAAGCTTTTGGAAAAGGATTCTTGGTTGGTCAACTCTTGAGTTTGACTATCCTATGTCTTGAGTAATTTCCCCAGTAATGCTTGGAGAATTGGAGGTCTTTGGTCAAGTTTTGGTGATTTAGGGAGAAAGTTGTCAAATGTGCGACCACTTGGAGATCGAAAGTTGTGTCATGCTTACATAACAGTATAACTTAATAACTTATAATAAGCTAGAATTGTAGATTACTAAATTTACCTTAGCACACCCGTGTCGTAGCAAAAAATTACTGTCGGCCGTGCACATCTAGTCGTGCAAGAGGGTTTGTGTGTCTTTGTATTCTAGATTTATTTAGGGGTTTTAATTAAAGCAGTAGTCACCATATTAAGATGATTGTTCTTGACTATTTAGGGCATGTTCACTTCAGTTTAATTTCAGTTCAATTCAGCTCCAATCAGTTTAGTTCAGCTCTTAATTTCTTTCTTTCACAAAATTTTCATTTCATCTCTATTCAGTTCAGTTTAGCTCAGCTCAAATCACTTCAGTAAATGTGAGCATGCTTTTAGGGGTTTTAAAAGTAGCATGAATTATAAAAGTTTTCTAAAATCTTTGGCAAGCCATGTAAATTGTTTTGTTTATTTATATACTCCGTATCTATTTAATTAAAAATATATCCATTATTTTTTTTGGTAAGGAAGAAGAGTTTTAGGCAACCATATATTATGGGAAGCCTAATAAAAATTGGATTATATTTTTTGACAAGCCTTGTGTGGAAGCTTGATAAAAAAAATAAATAAATAAGGGCTTGTTGACATTGTTTTTTGTTTTCAATTTTCTGTTTTTATGAAAACAATAAACTAAAAACAAGAAACACGAAAAAGGTGTTTCCACTTTTTTGTTGTCAGTTTTCAAAAATATCATGATTTTAATAATTTTGTTTAATTTTTGTTTCATTATATGACATATATCATATACAGAAAACCACAGCGATGCCAAACGAACCCTAAAATATCAATTTTATTTTTGTATAAAAGATTGAATACAATTGCTTCTTTGCAAATATTGAGTATATATATATCTTTTTTAAACGAGGCTATAAGATTGCCGAGGTTTAAGAGCTTTATTGCTACAAAAATTTCGCCAAATTTTCATTGTGATTGATGGATTTATCAGAGCACAATTACTTGCCATGGGATCTAATAATAGCGATATTGACGATGCTGCCGGCGAAAACCCTTCTTAGATTCAGATGTGTTTGTAAAGCTTGGAGATCTATGATCGATTCGTCAGATTTCATCAATATGCATCTTAAAGTTTACAATACTAATAAAAATCGTATATTAGTGCGGGAGATTTATATTGACAAACGATCAAGAACTTATACAATATATAGTACGAGTGGTATAGGCCTCTTAATTAAAAGTGCTCAATTATATGAAACTTCTATATTTTACTCTCTCTATGGTTGTTGTAATGGGTTGATGTTGGTGAGGCCGCAGTACTCGTCGTACCCGGGCCCTCGAACTCCCTTGATACTGTGGAACCTGTCTATTAGGAAGTCTTTGATTCTTCCCCTTTGCCCTTTGGTCCCTGCAAGCTATGCTCTTGGATATGCTCCTTGTAATGATTATAAAGTGGTCGCTTTAGAAAGGAATCGTAATTCAAAGGCACTATTAGAAGTACCCATTGCTGTATATTCGCTCAACGACCATAGTTGGAAGACAAAAACTAATTCAGGGATTGTTGTCGCAAGCTCATGTTTTGATAATATGCAAAGAAGGGGTGTTTTCTATCAAGGGGCTTTATACTGGGTTGGAGCTAATTATTCATCTCAAGTTCTTTTTCGATTTGACTTCGATACTGAGGAACTTACCTTGTTGGAAATTCCGGATTCTCGGATTAAACTCATTGAAGGTAGGACTTATGCTTTCCTCCTCGGTGACTCAATAGCAGTTTGCAGTTTATCTTGGCAAAGTACTCCCACTCGTATATGGATACTGGAAAAGGATGGTGCAAAGGAGGCATTGAGGCTTTGGCTTTCCGTGGATGGAAGTACGAGTTGCTCTGAGAATTATCGCTCTCCTCCTACAAGGATTCTTTATGTTTGCAACAAAAACATACTTTTGATGGATCACGTAGTGAGCATGATATCTTATGATTTCACGAATCATCAAATACGAAACTTAAGGGATTCTTTACAAGGTTATTGTGTATATTTTGATACGTATGTGGAGAGCTTGGTGATGAACAAAGGATCGAAAGGGCAGACTTTGACATTCCTTCCACAAAAAGAGTCGGATGAATCAAGAAATGATTTTAATTTAACCGATCCACAAAGAAGGAGAATAGTGTGAATCGGTAATTTTTTTGGGTGTTAATGGATCAACTCAACTAAAAACTTAAAAACTTAAGCTGATGGATGAGACCCATGGTCTATCTAGCTAGCTAATTTATTTTTTGAGTTATATTTAAACTATTGTTGCTCCTATTTTTTGTGCAATATGCTTATATAGGAACTGTGAAGTTGCTCAGCCTTGGTTCTTATTGCAAATTATCTATCTTTGCAGTATTGTACGTTGTAGCAGTTGCTATTTATCAATGTTCTTCAGCTTGGCTACGAACATGTTACGCTAATTGATGGTAAGTTATTGCATAGATCACTACTTAATGGCACTGCATGCCTTTACAATTAAGATCGATATAGATATGCATATAGAGTACCATTTTAAAGTGAAGTGTGAAGAGGTTTTAAAAAAGTTAGAATTGTTGTTTTCTCATTACGTGAGAATATATACAATATACAAGAGCATAAATAGCCTAGATATAAAGTTTCAACAATAGCAGTAAATAATTCTGATTGCATATTACCATAATTTTATAAAGTTTCGTACAACTTAAATTTTGATTAATAAACACAAGCTTTAGCCGAAATTACATTCAAATTCAGCAGGTGGCTAACCATGGAATTTAGAGCTTTCTCCTGCTACTTAGAAACCAATTAAGAATAAATGCAAGCATGAGATAAATTCAGACTCAAGCTAATTAATCTTATATATACCATAAGAGGTTCAATCACATTAGCTATATAAGAATCACATTAGCTGTATAAGACCCTGCCTAACAAGATCGTCGTAGGTCTTTTTGTTGTAAACGTTACCCTCGGCATCTTCATATTCCTCAACATTGTAAACGTTACCCTCGGCATCTTCATATTCCTCAACATAAGGCTGCCATAAGAAAGACTCTTGCCTTAGTTGAATTTGCTGCCACAACTCCTTGGCATCATCGATTCGAGTGATCTCATGAAAGCTCTTGTTGTTAGGGATACCCAAGCAATGCATACCATGCTGGTGACGCATATTTCGCACATATTTCGCACTTAAATTCTTGGTGAAGACCGTGAAGCTTGTATAACCAGTACGGTATAGGCTTCCCATCCGAACCTATTGGCAATTTGAGTGGATTATTATTGTTTCTTTTGTCGTCCTCTTCTTCATCGCCTTCTATGTCGATTGCAACTATCTCATTATCAGCTTCACGATCACGAACGAGCTCATCATAACTCATCCCCTGCCTGTTCTTAACGCGTTCCTTAGTCCGGTCAAGAGTCTCTTTCAGAATTTCACACAACTTCTTCACTTTTGCTTCAATGAGCGCAATTTCCTTGCAACAATCAAGTTCATCATCGCCTTTTAACTTCTTTAAGTGCATTCGATCCAGCCTTTCGAGAGGGGTATTCTTCACAAGGAAAAGCCTCTCTGCCCTTTGGTGCATAGTACCCCCTGACTTAAGCCCCAAGGCATTTAACGCCTCGTTAAGTTTCATCGATCCTAACTCAATTAGACTCTCGACATAAATTTATCATTCATATTATTTTTTTAGTTTTTTTTTTCTTTTTCCCTAGTGCTTTAATCTTCTAAATTCACTACAAATGATTCCTAATAAATTTTGAAAATTTAATTTTTGTCCATGGATGACTATTAAACTTGAGTAACAAACGTGTCACATACTTACATTATATACAAGTGCAAAACCTTGGGGAATAAGTAAGCTCAAAAGAATCATAATTTACTGTTTCACTGTTTGTCAAAAAAAAAAAACAAAATTAAAAAAATAAATAAATAAAAAATCTATACATGAAACAATAATATCTCTACATGTTCTACTAGTAAAAAGATACTCCGTAATGTATATAAGCTAATTATAACCATGGAATGCTGACATCTAATGCAATGTCTGTAAATAGTACGAGTAGATCAGATAGCAACAAAGAAGTACGAGAACCAGTAAGCAACTTTTAGTAAGCAGCTTAGGTTTCTAACCCACAATGGCATAATCTTCTGCAGAATATTTTGTATTTGGTAATGACTTATTGGATGCGAATCTAACAAGAGCTGATATGTCTAATGTCTTTATCATCTTAATTATAAATCATAAAAGCCATTAGAAACATATAGGTTGAACAAAAGCTAATGACTGTTTAAGGGCATATTGGACGGTTCCACTGACCCAATTTGACTCCCGGAGTATATTAGGGACCATGGTAAACATCTCGGAAATTTTTAATCCGAGCGAAAAAAGGTCAAGATTACAAAATTGAAAGCTATAATCCACGTTTTTTTGGGAAATTTTAGGTTTCAGGGTCCGGTGGTGAAAAGCCTTAAAACCCTAAGGGATACATCTCGGGGTTATATAATGCCGTTTGAAACCATATATGATCATTAGATGTTGTCATAAACGTCCGTGGTAGACTTGAGTTTACGAAATCACTACAAATTGTGAACGGGTAAAATGATCGTTTAAGGGCATATTGGTTGGTTCCACCGACCCAATTTGACTCCCGGAGGATATTAGGGATGGACCATGGTAAACATCTCGGCAATTTTTATTTACGGACGAAAAAAAGTCAAAAAATTACAAAATTAAAGGCTATAATCCACGCTTTTTGAGGAATTTTGAGGTTTTGGGGCCCGGTGGCGAAAAATCTTGAGACCCTAAGGGATACATTTCGGGGTCATATAATTCCGTTTGAAACCACATATGATCATTATATGATGTCATAAACATCCGAGGTAGGCTTGAGTTTACGAAATCACTTCAAGTTGTGAACGGGTAAAATGACCGTTTAAGGGCATATTAGATGGTTCCACTGACCCAATTGGACTCTTGGAGGGTATTAGGGATCATGGTAAACATCTCGGCAATTTTTATTTTTAGGCGAAAAAAGGTCAAAAAAAATTACAAAATTGAAGGCTATCCACGCTTTTTTAGGAAATTTTGAGGTTTCGAGGCACGGTGGCGAAAAGCCTTGAAACCCTAAGGGATACATCTCGGGGTCATATAATGTCGTTTGAAACCATATATGATCATTATATGTTGTCATAAACGTGCGTGGTAGGCTTGAGTTTACAAAATCAGTGCAAGTTGTGAACGGGTAAAATGACCGTTTAAGGGCATATTGGATGGTTCCACCGACCTAATTTGACTCCAGGGGGATATTAAAGACCATGGTAAACATCTCGGCAATTTTTAATTTCCGGACGAAAAAAGGTCAGAAAATTACAAAATTGAAGGCTATAATCCACGTTTTTTGAGAAATTTTGGGAACCATGGTAATTTTTGTAATTTTTTTTTTTGACCTTTTTTCACCCAGAAATAAAAATTCCTTAGATGTTTACCATGATTCCTAATACCCTCCGAGAGTTTAATTGCATTTTAAATGTTTTCCAGTTGCCAATTGATTTACTCTATCTTTACTTGCCAGTTGCCACCATCTCCTACTTATAATCTCTAGGCCGGCAATAACTTCTAGCCTTTGTTTTTCTCTCTCTAAAAATGTAGTAGGCTCTAACTAAGAAATTAAATCAATCATATATAACAAATTAAACCAGAAATTTAAATAAGAGGGAGTAGTGGAGGCAATAGTAAAGGATTTACAGTGATGGAGAAGTGGCCAATCTTCAAGAAGTTGCTTTGATTGTCAGATTATTAGTCTAATTAATCTGATTAAATTGGCTTTTAAATACAAATTAAATTAAGTTACTTGACGGAATTGTCAGAAACTGATACGGAGTATGTCTAGAATTGCAACTTAGATGGCATATGGGCAACATATTTATATATATCGGTCACATATTCTAATAAACAAAGTACTAAGCTAAGCAAACTATAGCTAGGGAGTGGGGAATCAACTGAGAGTTAGCGAATTTGATCTTTATACTTTTCAAACCTACTAGCTAAACACAAAATTATCAAGAAAATTAATACTACAAAATATTTATATGAATATGTCATAAAATATTACTAAAGTGGAAATATTTGTAAAGTTCATTCACATCTTTTCAATGATCTTCCAAAGTTGGCCAGGCTACAAGCTTCTTAAGATCAATCAAGCTCATCCAAAAAAACTCCTCCCACTCCACTGTAACTTACGAATAATTACCTTATTTTCATGCAAATCCATATGTTGGGAAGGATCAAATCTCAAAATATGACCGTCGGTTTCTTTGTGCAACGCCAAGCTCTCTACATAATCATCTAGAGTTACTAAACTATTATAGGGTGTTCTCAAAACTCGTACTTGCTGGGTAGAAAATGTATAAGAAAACACTTTCTCGTAAGTCTGAAAGATAAATGTATCACTGTCCCGTTCATTATAGAAAATCCTTGAATATATATCTGACAAACGCCCGCAAGTTGCATCTAATACCTCATGAGTTGAATCTCTTGAAAACCATAGCCTCCAAGGCGACTTCTTTTCGCTATCCTTATCAATAACCCATACACAGAAACTTTTAGAAAACAGACTCAAAACGGCTAGTTTCTTACAACAAAGAAAAATAAACCTAGTGACTAATCCTTGCTTGACATCCACCGGCAACTCCACAGAGATAAAATCCTCATAATCAAAATCAAATGAGACGAGATGATTTTCCGTAAGCCAGTACCAAGCCCCTTGATAGAATACACGTTCATTTAGAGATGGTGGGACGAGGACATCATTCCTTGTTATTATAGAACTCCACCTATGATCCCGAGATGAATAAATTGTCATTAAAACTTCTCCAGCTCCACCAAGAGGATGCGGATGCGGCCATTGAAAGGCAGCCACTTTAAAATTATTGTCTCCATCGTTAGAAGAAGGATATCCCAACAAAAATGTTTCATATAGAAAATATGGATAAATTTTAAGAGGACACGGGGGAAGCAACAACGACTTCTGAATAGAAGGGTTCCATATCCTCAAAATACTCTCGTCAGGATGATATATTAACACTAACATTAACCCATTACATGTTCCAAAAAAGCTACAATTCGCATTTATTGTACAAAGATGATTGATTACCTCAAATGT